AAGTTGGCAACACGGGCCACAGTAGTGCCCTGTGGCAGTAAGATCTTCTCCGGTGTAGAGTTGACAGCGGTGACAAGTGCAGAGCCATTGCATAAACGAACGACACCGGACGGAAGAACTATACCTTTACGAATGCAAAGTGATGACGGTGAGATCAATACATCACCGTGATAGATGTCATTGGACGTAATGCTGACAATTTGCTCTTGTAGTGGAGGCAGTTCGATGTCTTTCGCAGCGACCAGACGAAGTGGCTTGTGATTGTCGTCGTCAAGCATGTAGTCGGTGTCAGCGAGGTGAACGACGCGTTGTCCACAACAAATCGCCGCGGAAGCAGATGATAGAAAAACCCACCCTAGAATTAGTTGGTGAGAGCAGCGGGACAGGACAGCAAACTGGACATGGTGGCGGATGCCGTCGATGAAAACACGCACAGTACAAAACGCGGAAGGGCGAATGACGTTCCCCTGGGAAGCAACTAACGTGGGGCCATCGTAAGGCGTCATTACTTTCCTTTAATGTTCACACAAATCAGCACGTATCACAGACAATGTCGCACCTGTGTCCACCAAAGCATCGACTCGCACTCCTTCCACTTCCACAGAAAGCGTGTTACACGGGCCTGATGGAGGAATTTCAGTTCTAATTCCGAATGCAGTTTTTCCTCCACAAACTGCATCACTTACTTTTCCGAATGTATATCAGATGAGAATGAGGCGGGCCGAAGTGGAGAAGTGGAACGGCGGAAGGGCGAAGGTGAGCGGCGTCTCGTGTTTCAGCTGTTTCGTGGTGCAGTCGATGCCGGAGGAGATGGAGACCGGTGCGGGGGAGACGAATAACGCCGACCTTGATAAGACGCCCCAGTGTACGAATCCCGTTCGCGCACGTCGTTCCGACGCTCATCTTGCTGGCGCTTTCGGCAGAAACGAGATATGTGGCCGCGATAGCCACAGTAGTAGCATACAGGGCGAGACGAGCGCCACTGTGGGGAATAGAAGGCATTCGGGGCAGCTGGAGATAGCGCAGTCAGGTGGGTCGGAGGGTCAGGGAGCACGGAATGGTAGTTTACCGGGGGAGCGGCAGAAACTGATGCGTAGGATGGACGCAGCAATGTCGCGTGGGCGTCGCTGGGAGGCACGGCAACAACTTCAGGGTACATGGGTATGGGGCGTGAAGCAGGTGGCTGTATGGGCGCAATGCCGGTCAGCGATGTAAGTTCCTCCCTGACGATGTCACGCAAGGGCACTTCCGAAGACTGTGTAGGACGTGGTGTAGGAGGTGTGAAGCCCATAGACCGCAATTCTTCACGTATAATGTCCCGGATGAGGTCACGCAGGTGGCCATGAGACGTCCGGTTGGAGGCGAATGTCCGGTTGGAGGCGAACAGAGTCCAGCGTATCAAGGCGCTGGCATGTCGTCACGACATCAGTGATGGTAGCTGGGTTTTGCACAGCAAGTGCATTAAAGGCAACAGGCCCGAATGCCTTTCAATATGTGGCGCACTTTGTCCGATTCCGGCATGGATTGATTGACACGCCGGCACAGTGCGAGGACATCCTCGATGTATGAAGTGTACGATTCACCGGGATGTTGTCGGCGAGTATCAAGTGTCTTCTTCGCGACAGCGGATCGAATGTCCGGGGTCCCAAAAACGTGTCGCAGCTGCTGCTGGAAGGTAGCCCAGTCGGGTAGGTCAATGACGTGGTTAAAATACCAGGTCCTTTGCGACTCCGGTCAGATAAAAAGAGACGTAACGCAGTTTGGCGGCCTAGTCCCACCGATTAGCGACACTTACGCGATCCTAGTTGTCGAGCCAGTCTTCTACGTCTTCTCCACGAAGACCAGCGAAGAGCGAGAGGTTCCCGCTGATGTCCGTGTATGTAAATAGGAGGGGACAGCTTGCGTCGGTGCGTGGTTGATGACATCAGCTCCGGTAGGCTCGGTCTGGGACATGCTGCCTGACAGTGGGCGCAATCGGTGGCCTGAATGAAGCTCCAGCGGGTAGAGCGGACTGCGGGAGGTAAGAGGACTGAAAATCCACCTCAACCACGTATGAGGTCTTGGTAGTCTTGGTTGCGACAGCGTTTAATTGAGGAAAGACCTCGCAAAACGAACGGGCAGAGCCAGTACACAGACGATGACTCAGAGTGGCAATGAGGACAAAGAGACAAGCGGATGATGGTGATCGTAATTATGCAGGGATGAGGACGACGTAAGTAACAAATGCCCACAATATATATATATATATCATGTTACCTGCTGCACTATTTCCTTGCATAGTTGCGAGCCCAAGTTGTGGTGGAAGGCCAACCTGGATCCTTGGCTGTTGAAAACATAAGAGAGAGAGAAAAAGATAACTTTTCAGAGGGCAACCTGCAATAGCTCAATCTTAAGAGCTAGTATAGCAACTTAATGACACAGCTGCATCGCACCAACAGCTTTGTGACACGATAAAAATGAAAAGTTTAAATGCCACTAAAAAAAAATGGCAACATGAAGCACCTTGTAAACAAATTCAGGAGTTGCATGTTAAAAAAGTACTGACCCGATTTTGAGACATTGCGAAAGGAGCATTTTTCGCTTCCCTGATATGCAGTGCTAACACTCTCTACACACCAGAGTCCGCAGACACATATAAAATGTTTTCCTTAATTTTAGAGTTGTCACTTAACATCAGCAAGCACACCCCACTGCAACAGACATTATCCTGACGAGTCAACTCAGCTCCACTGTCGTGCGTGCAGCCTGAATCACAGAAAATCGCTGCCGGGGTCGCTGGGAACGACGCACTCATGGTTGTTTTCGTGTAACACGTGCAGATGGCAGATCTGCGGCTATTTTGTCATGAACTGCTTTCTTCTCATGACGTCGCACTGCTATGGCATGTCCCGAAGAAGCCGCCCTCTCTATATCGAAACCAAAAGTGTCTTTTTAAGGCAGCCGTATTAAAAATACATGCAATGCATTCCCAGGCACCAAAGTAATTTTTCTAGGTAGAAATTCTTAAAACCCAGGTCCTTATTTAGAGCAACGATCCCAAAATATTTTGTGTCAGTACTCCTTTAGGTATTTCAATTTAGCTACAGATTCCAAACTAATGTAAACCATACTTTCTGCCATTCCATCATTTCAACACATGCTCCACAGTTAATATATTCATTATGTGGAATTCATTATGTTGCAAGCCTCAATTTTAATGTGCCCAAGCAAGTGCAGCGCTATCACAAGAATATCAAATACAGTTTTAGAGTTTGACAATTATTGTCTTTGCTATAGAAATACATATGAATTGTACCGAAAATACTTTTAGATGAGGCTTTAAAAATAATTATGTGTTTAGATAGCTAAATTTACTATAAAATACCGAGGTATCCATAGTGGGAAAGCTATCGCAGCACGACAAAAAATGACACGCCAAGACAAAAACAGATATATTTCTCACTTGCCGTGTACACAACTGCTATTTACTTCTGGTATTTTACAGGCTACTATTTAGACTTGTTTCATTCACACTAGTTTCAACAGTGACTAGAACAACACTGCATGTTCCCAGGTGACGAGTAGAAGCTACTCGTCATGTATGCGCTTGCGTCCATCTCTTAATATCTTCTCAGTCTGTAAAAACCAGTTCACGAATTCACACGGCACCATGTTCGACTGCAGTAAACGGAACTTGCTGCGTGATTCGGCCCGCTATGTTGATGCGGCTGCACCAGTCTCGCTAACACTTGACGAATTCACGGGCAACTCGAGCGTCAGCTCACCTTTTTCGCAGACTTGAGCCGATAGTTGCAAGCAGTGAGGCTGTACCTATCCGGCGGAAGACGAGGTCCGGCATTCGCTTTGATAAGCGGCAGCGGCGTACTGTTCTTTTGCCGCGCGATTTCCATCAGCAACTGCAAAAATAGCGCAAAGCGGCACGCTTACATAGCATCGACGTCGTGCTGGATCACGCTGACAACGTACGTCTCTCGGTGGCGGGGACGTGAACGTTTTTTCCGCTTGCATTTGAATAGCCAAACGCACGTCGTCAACATCGACGGCTCTCTTTTTCGCATGGGTCGAATACAGCCTGGCGTCCTCGAGGATATTGGTAACGTAACCTGAGCGAGAACAGCGCAAAACGATGATTGAAGTGGGCTTAATATTCCAACAGCACAAGCAACAACTTTAGCACATCCCAACGTCGCGTAGAGTGCAAGACGAAAATACTAACGGTAAGTGAACTCCAACATCTGATTGATGACTCTTGGCTCGTAGTCGACTATCCCCATGTCCTTTAGTATTGCACTCATGACTTGGGCATCCTTCGGCGTGCTTTTCGGAGCTGCCATTACGTTAGTATTAAATCACCAACAATCGACAGTCTAGAAATAAGCACCATGCGCGCTAGAACGTTGGTTTAACGAGCCAAGCGCAAACGACACAGACTTTCGGCGGCCATTATTGCGAGCCGACACACAGAACACCGGAAGCGCACGCAGGAAATGATGACGTCGTCTTACTTGTGCTGCCCTGTAGCGGGATATTTTTGAAGCAATGCTAGCAGCCGCGGCAAACTGGTAGGTGTTCTGTGCCGCGTTCACTCGGTCATTCGGGATAGAACGCAATAAAACTTTTTATTTCTATACGAAGGCAACAACAAGTTGTTGCGGAGCGATTCATGCAAGCTCACACATGGTATACGGGAAATTCACTCATTGGAAGTGGGGATTGATAGTAGCACGACTGCTGAAAGTGGTGCCTACACAGCGCGGCCTTGGTTTCCTTTGTACACAGAGAGCTCAGCTACATTTACATTGCATATCAGTAACGACGGTTGTAGGACATTCCAGGGTATTTATTTACCGCAGCAACTTATGGCTTCGTTGTTCCGACCGCCATGCCGCGTTTTACAGTGCAGCATGCATGATGTTCCCCTTCCGCACTTGTTTTCAAAATACGCGCTCCGAAGCATACGTCACATAAATGGCGGTGTTTTTTTGTTTTTGGTCTGCTTAGCTTACGGAAGCCGGCTTTTATATCCCCCATTCAGAAAAGAATGCCTGAAGCGAAAGTGATTGAGAACATATGAACATTCATTGATAGCACTGGTTATCACTGGTGTTGGCACAGATGAATAGGGCAACGCAAGGTATTACGGTTGTTCAGCTGTAGTGAAACGCCGTAAATAGCTGATAACGGTGCCCCACCGCACTTTTGCAGCAGCCGTCAAAAGTTTGGAGTGTTTGCCAGATTAGCGTGGTGTCGGAGTGTTTCTAGGGTAACTTTAAGGCCGCTACGCCACCGACGCCGCTACACCAGCTACACACTGAAAGGAGACGGCTTCACACGTTGAAACGGGAACGCGGTTCTGAATTTGTTCGCTGCAGCCTTCGGAGCTCTGCGATTACTACAGCGATGGCAGAGTCAACAGGTGACTCAGCGGGCGCATTCTGGAAGAGGAAATACTACGTTATCATAACTGGGGCGAGCGTCGGAATTGGGCGAGCCTTAGCTCAGGCGTTCAGCCGAGAAGTCGCCGAAAAATCAGTGTTTGTCATAACCGGTCGCAACGCGGAGAATCTCAATGAAACCAAGCGTCTCGTCGCCCAAGATGCACCTGGCGTTGAAGTCGTCGCTCGAGTCATGGATCATTCCACGGCCACGTTTGACGATTACCGAAAGCTGATAACGGACACCTGGTCCAAGATTTCTGCAGCGGACGGAGTTTTGTTGGTTCACAACGTAGGCACGATCGGTGATGTGCGCAAGTATGCGACCGCACTCACCGACGAGAAAGAGATCGACGACTACTTTCACCTCAACATAACGTCCGTTATGACGCTGACTTCGGCTTCCTGGAGAAGTTTCCGAACGGCTCCAACATTTCTAGGACCATTATCAACATATCCTCCTTAGCTGCGATCAAGCCAATGGCTGGAACAGGCATTTACTGCACTGGTAAGTCAAAATGTGTCATACCAATTGGATGATGAAAACATTTTATTAGTCAAATGCCAAGAAAACGGGAAGGGGTCTGTATTCCGCTTAGCTGTAAAACTAACAGACAAATAAGAAGGCATTTGCGTTGTGAAATTTAATTATTTCGCTAACTATGAATTATAAAATGAATTACACTGGTTAGTAACAGTGATGCAGCCAGCTTAAAGCATAATGTAGCCAAACTATAAGCTCTCTAGGAATAATGTTCATCAATGAATCCATTCAATTTAAGAATGTCCTTAAAACAATGATTACCTAATTACCCTGCTGTATGTTGAACAGTTTATCTGTATTGCTTTGTGCCTTCACCATGTAATAAAAATAAAATTAGTGTTATTATTTGCTTTATTATGATGTGAGTTGTTAGGAGTATTCATCTTTGTAGCCCCAATCAGTGACAATATTTGTAAGTCCATTTGCTTTGTATTCCTTGTTTTTTCATTGTTGTGCATACCCTTCCCCTCTGAGATGTACTGTGTACCCTGAGGGTAAAATAAATAAAAATGTTCTGAGTTCATTTCAATTCTATAGCAGTGCTTCACAGAATCTTTTACTGGCTGCTATGTGCTCGACTCAAAAACTTCAGTGCTTTTAACACAAATATAGTGTGTGATATACTGGATACCTACCAAAGTTTTCTAGTAATTGTAAATTTCAGACGTTTCAACATGGTCCCCCATATTTCGAATCAGTTCCAATTTGCAAAATATACTTCTTGAAAAGAGTATAACCTGTGTTTTATGAACCTCTGATCATTATTTCGTTTTTTCAATTTTGTTTATTTTATAGTCTTCAAAAGAAAATTTGACATTCTCAAGTTTTATTGAAGTCTGTTAATTTGCATAATAGAAAAGTGATCAGGTCACAATTTTTCTTTCCTTGTATTTAGACTCCTAGGTTTCTGATGTGATCTTGTAATACTGTGTCTTTGAGCTTTCAATTATTGCATCTCAAATTTTGTATCATATACACAACTGTCACTTTATTATGTCTATGCCTTGAAATGGGTCATCAACCTACTGGTCTAGATTCACTTGAAACTCTAGCAGTTCAGTAAAAAAAAATTATATACATGTTTGTGTAAAACAGGTTCAATAAATGCTGCCGCTACAAAACCAATGAATTATATTTTTTTTACACTGATAAAGCATGAGCAGCCTTTTGCCATGCCTTAGTAGGTACTATTTGAAAGCAAATGTAATGTTTGTGGTCTTTTATTAATATTTTATTTCGTATCAATTACTCCAGGTAAAGCTGCTCGACAAATGTACATGAGGATTATCGCAGCAGAAAATCCCACGGTGAAAGTGCTCAACTACTCACCAGGCCCAGTAGACACAGCCATGCACAAAGCGTTGCACCACGGAGTAAAGGAGATTGCTGAAGCGGCAAGAGGTAACATAAGGGATGCATGAATTCATGTGCAGAAGCGTGCTTCAGTACATTCATGGGTACTGATACCTGTTCTCAATAAATGATATCAACATGTACCTTAGTCTTGCTTAGAATGCATGCTTATTGTAAAGCCAGCAATGATTCTTCCGTATAGCAGAATGAGCTATATGGGAAAGGAAACGTGATTGAATGATGATTAGACTGAGTGATGAGATTATGAAATTGAAGATTTGGGATGCGTATGGTTCACACAAATCAAGGCTGTCTATTAATTAGTCTTTAAGATAGTGTCTCTCTGGGTGAGTTGGTGATGCATGTTAAGCATTAGCTATAGCAAAGAAGATAAACATGGACGAGAAAAGACAACGGGCTCCGACTTTCAATAGAGGTTTGTTGCAGAAGTGCACAAGAATAATACAAGAAAATAATGACATGAGACAAGAAAAATAATAAATAATGACAAGAATGTGATGTTGCTGAGTTAGGTACATTATTGGGTTGTTTTGTCAGAGAAATGTTTTTTAGCTTTTTTTTTTAATGTGCATGACCGGCAGGTGTGACACCTAGGTTATCATATTATACTTTTTGCTGTTCATTTTGTCACAATTTTACTATATTCGTTTGCACTTCTACTGTGAACTTCACTTGAAAGTCAGTGTTTTGTCAACTTTCTTCTCTTGTCTGGATTTCCTGGCTCTGTTCGTACATGAACCCTGCGTGGTGGTCTAGCGGCTAAGGTACACGGCTGCTGACCTTTAGGTCGCAGGGTCAAATCCTGGCTGCATTTTTGATGGCGGCGAAAATGTTGTAGGCCCGTGTGCTCAGATTTGGGTGCACGGAAACCCCGTGGTCGAAATTTCCAAAGCCCTCCACTACAGCGTCTCTCTTAATTATATGGTAGTTTTGGGACGTTAAACTCCACTTGCCAATCAAATCAAATCATTTTTTGACATGACGAGGATAAGTGTAGTTGTGTGAGGCCTGTGTACTGAAACTGATTTATAATAAGACATTGATGTAACGAATGGATGAGTGATTTTTTTGTTGTCTTTCACCTTTCAGGTATGGTGGAGTCTGGTACACTTCTGACACCGGAGGCCACATCTCTTAAGCTGGTTAAAATTCCTCGAGACTCAAAGCTTTCAGTCTGGCGACCATGTCGACTACTACGATCGAACCTAACGCATTACAAGAATGTGTTTTCTGTGGCCTTTCTATTTTGCATGGCATTTCTAGGCTAAGGTTAAAATTTATACTTCTATTTCTGAATGTAATTTCAGGTGTATTGTTTTTGTTCGGTGCATTGGTATTACAAGATGAAGTATTTGAAGTGTACTCACCAGCATGGGCCCAATTAAAAAGCAAAGCAAGGTTTCCTTTTCCTGTGTATTGTGAAGTGGCATTATTAATTGATCGTTATCTCTGATTGTTCTTCTTCACAGGCAATGCAACGACTAATTAGCCGCTTGCTACAAGCTGGCACGTCTTAGTTTTTATTGCTGTTTTGTTTTGAAATATGCAAAAAAAATACATCATGCTTAGGCACTAAGGTCACATCTATTTTTACATGGAGTGAATATTATCGAGTCTCAATCAGTTCTTTTTTTTTTCTTTTCTTTTTTCTTCAGTCTTGCTTGGTGTAACCTTCTTCCCGACAGAATGTTCTTCGGAAGCTTTAGCCACATCTTGTTGTGCCACTTTGCTACTTTCAAACTGCTGTTGCTACACTTCCTTAGCTTGTGGTTGCACTGGTGACACCTTGCTTTGAAGTTACTTCCAGCGTGCTTGTCGACTGTGTGAATAAATTGTGCCAATACGTACTTGCGGCTTTCGTGCACATGAACTTGCGTACATTTGCAAAACACTGCAGATGACTGTCTGCATACTGACCGTTACTTGAAAGTTTATACTCGTCAGATACATAAAAACAAATATACAAAATGTCCTAACTAATTTAGAACAATAATTTAAAAAAAAGAAAAAGCTAATAGTTCTAAAAAATCCTGCCAACTGCATATTAAAGGTAATTGTGTGCATGTATATAACGACTATTTTTATGACAATATTGATTTTAGGCTAGGTAATTTGAATAGGTCAACATTTTAATGATTAGATTACTTGCAGATTGACTGCAAGGAGCCTTTGAGCAAGACATTCATTTCGTGTCGAAATTTGCTTGGTTGTTTCTTCCAAGGCAGAACAAAAACCCATGAAACAGAGGAAATATGAAGTACACAAGCGTTATGTGAGCGCTTCCAAACATTCTTTGATGAAAGAAGTCGAAAGTCGTCTTTCACAACCTATTGATTTATTTATTGTGTGAAGGTCGTTAGGGGTCATGTTTCTCAATGGAGAAACATGACCCCTAACAAACTAAATAATTAAAACAGGTTTTGTAGCTGGTTGGGCAAAGTTTGTTGACTGCTGCTTTCCATAGCAATGGGATTAGTCCTAATGAAAGAATTTTACACAATAAGATAGTTTACACCCTTAGTGAGTTTTTGTGATGTCTAAAACTAACCCCCTTATGCCTGTGTGCTTAGATTTAAAAGTACGTTAAAGAACAACAGGTGGCCAAATACGCAGGAGGGATGGACTAGCTGTCATGACTATAAAAAGCTTCGCCTTTAAAATTCAGGAGGTGGGACGGGTGGATCCAAGGCACGGGCTCAGTGTGACATCCCCTGGCTACGCCCCCTACCCGTGCCATCACACAGCTTGGCTTCCAGCGCGCTCGTCGGGATGAAAATGGGGAGAAAACAATTACAGCGTGCGACGGGTCTCTAGTTTCGCTCGTACTTAACGGATTCTAAAAATTGCTGCGGTTGGTTCGTGAGGCAATCAACTTTTTTCGATGACTAAACGGAAAAAGGTTGTAGGGCATCTTTAAAAATGGAAAGTGGTTTTCAGGTATGGTAAACATCAGTGTGGACCATGTGTTTAGTGTGGCGAGCAATCTCCGTTTACGAGTATGCTTTCTGTCGGACACCCATCTAAATCATTTGTGTTGGAAAAATTTTAAAGGACAGTTAAACAAAATAGAAAGTAAAAGAAGCCAAAATTTGAGACGGCCCTAATGTTTTTTTATGCACGGCTGATGCGCGGAACGCGTGCACGAGCCGCACATTCAACAGAGAAGCTGTTTAGCAAATCATTACTATAGTCTAACAAAAATAAAAAAAAAACATCGTCACAAACGGTTCATGTACCACACAGAGAGAAAACTATGGACCATCTTCCCGAAGGGAACCCTGATTGTGAATGCGAAGCAGCAGCGGTGCGCAGGGCGTTGACCCGATTCAAACGGGCGTCGACGCAGGTGCTGGAACAACGGTTTGAAGCGAATTCGGTGTAGCGTTTACTCGAGTAAACGGTTGTTTAAAAACGCGAAGACATAGGAGGTGGGACGCGTTGAAGACGCATGCGCTCGGCTTCCTTGGATCGCGTCTCGTCGGTGTTACCTGCGTGCCGTCTGTATTCTCGTTGGTGTCGCTGGTCTTCCACTGTCTACGCTTGCGTCCGGCTTTCCTGGCTTGTGCCTCGGTGGTGTTGACGTCGCCATTCACGAACGTCATCGGCTTCGCTAACCCTTGCAACGCCAGCGACAGCCGGGAAAGGTACGCACACACTAGAGAGAGGCATGCCGCGATGGCGTCCCGCCCATCGGCGCGATCGTTCGGCAAGCAGCGGCGCGCTGTGCACATTGTCGGTGCCGCGACATTCTCGACGTGCGCGCACACCCGTCGGCTCGCGGCTTCTCGCCGACAGATGTAGAGAAGCGGCGCGGGTGAGATGATGCCCACGTGAGGAGTGGCTCGAGCGTTGCGAGCAATGGAAAGAGTAAAGCGAGAAAGCTGACTCGGGGCGAGCGTGCGGTAGGCGAGAGAGATTGAGAGAGAGAGACGTCTCCGCGCACTGCTTGGAGGGCGTGAACTACTTGGCACCGCTCCATCATCTGCGGCGAGGGGAGTGGTGCGGACGAAGGGACAGCGTTACATAGGTTAGTCAAGAGCTGCTTCGCATGTAATAAATCATTTATTGCTAATAAATAAGGTGCCAGTGATTGGGCCATTGGCTCTTGCCGCAGTCCGGGCTTGGTCGACCACGGCCAGTTGCTGCACTGGGTCAGAGCTGCACAGGGTCGCCTCCCACTCGACTATTGTGGGATTATGATTGGTCGATCTACTGGGATTGTTTCGCACTCCCATACCACATGAAATAAAGTGGCCGTCTGTGGACAAAATTAACCCTGCGAATTTTAAACTGATGGGTCTATCTTGGACAATACATAATGATTAGTAAATTATGATAATTGTAATCATCGCCACGCGAGCTGCGATGCCTTATCTAATTTAGGATCAGGTGGGGGTAGAGTGCGTCTACTCAGCCTGATGTGTTGCAGGATATCAGTATAGGAAAGCGGAGTTGTGGATCGTCCTGGTGAGCAAAAAGTTGCACTGTGGATGAAGCAGCGGAGGCCCGGTGTAAGGGACTGCTGGTGGAGGCATGAGCGAGTTCATTACCTCGAACTCCTGTGTGCCCAGGTACCCATAACAGTTGACGAGTTGACCATCTTGACGAATTGCCACAGCCTGTTGCAGAATCAAATGTGCTAAGCGACCGATTTCACTTCTGGCGAAATTGCGATACGTCGCCTGGGAATCCGTGAGGTGAACGGTGGCTTGTGGATTACGCATGGTTAAGGCTATACCGGCCTCTTCCACGGATGTGATGTCTATTCTGGTAGCCGAGATGCACTCCACGACCACTGCCATAACGCCTTCGGGCAATGAGGGGTAATCCTTGAATAAAGAATATTAAAGAATACTTTGGCTCTTGAAGCTCACCTGTTCTTGTGGTGGACAGGGTGCATATTGCGTGGCAAAGATCGATTATGGCCTTACTTGTGCCATTTTTGTGGTAGCGATAGTTTACTGGCTACCTGCATAATGTGCCACAGAAATTGGTTAAATGTCACCATTCAGCACTGGTCCACTGAAAAATAAGCCCGCAATGGTAAGCCCAAGAAATGGCTGCGAAGTGACAGCGGCCAGCCGAAGACCCTACCGAGTATGTACATCGAGTGATTGCTGGGTAACGGGAAAGGTAACAGCAGCGGCGAGAGGGTCCTGAAACGACGTCGTGCCTGTAGATTTGTGAAATGCGCGAACGCATGGTTTCCGCATGGGTTTCTGTCTGCAGTTAGGACATCCACGTCGTGCCAATGACTGTGTGCGGTTTGACTAGAATAGAAATCTATCACGCCATCCATCTAGCTAAAGCCTATTAACAGCCTAGAACCAACCTCCTGAATAACCTAGCCCCACACACACACACACACAAACACACACACACACACACACACGCACGCACGCACACACACACACACACACAATGTATATATATATATATAGCAGAAGACAATAATGCCAAGGAGGTATAGGGGAAGTTATTAGACCGAATCGTAATGTAAATGTGAAGAAAGAAAAGTGGGTGAAAAGATAACTTGCCGTGGGCACGAACCGAACCTGCGACCTTCGAATAACGCGTTCCATGCTCTACCACTGAGCTACCACGGCGGCTATACTCCCAGCCACTTTATATGTGGATTTAAACGTGAGAGTGCCAGTCAGCGCCCTCAGTAGCCATGGCGGCAAGTGTGTCACACTCTTTATGAGCCTGCGGGGCGTCACGTAGCGCGTGAACTTATTACGAGCTGGCAGCTTACCAGTAGTCCCTCGTATACAACCGAAGTCACCAAGTCTCCCAGAACGAGACCCTCGTGAATGAATAAGGGAAAGAAGTGTACGCTTAGGGCTCATTTTCCCTGTTAAAATATTAATGAGATATAACAGACAATAGTGCCAAGGAAAGTATAGGGGAAGTTATTAGACCATATATATATATATATATATATATATATATATATATATATATATATATATATATATATTTATAGTACCAACCTAGAAGCAACCTGATTATAGTCTTCAGAATCATCCAGTTTTGATACTTCAAGGCATGCGTGGCTTATTGCAAGCCTTAATTTTTTCTCCGTATTTTTTAACTTCTTATTTTTCTGCTTTGTTTATGCTTTCTTATTTTTTACTTGCTTTATTGTTTTAATTTACTTTCTATCTTTGTACGCGTGGCTCATACACACTTCGTCAATGGCGACGTAACAGAATATCTTGTCATGTTATTCACGTCACGATCGTTCAGCCGCGGTGCATTAAAAAAAAAAGAAAGCGCTCAATGCCACGAGGCGCGCGTGACGCATTTTCTTTCCCCGTGCATCCCTGCCTGTTTACCTTCCAGCGCTTTCGGCGGGGCAAGAGAATGGAGAATGCAATTGCGGCGTTCGACAAACTGTTGTGATTCCGCTCGTACTAGACGAATTCTGAAAGTTCTTGCGGAGGTGAATTCGTGGGAATATAAGCCCCTTTGTAATCCATTCCATAGCTACTCGAAAAAAAAGTGTCGCAGGGCCCCTTTAGGAAAATGGCAGTCTTTCGAAACTTGTGCTTTGATATCATGCTTCATGAACTTAAGCTAGCCACCATTTTTATGTGGTACTATTTTTCGCCGATTTCTTACCTAAACCGGAAGTCGATAGGTGAAGTGGAGGTGCTGCAAAGGAAACGACAGTGTCGCTCGTCCTAGAGGACGGTGGACCCCACAGAGCGCGGTTGCATATTATCCGGTTGGAGAACTGCCGTGCAAGACTAGTTAGAACTTGATTTTGGAAAAGCAAGGGGGTAAAAAAAAACAAGTGGCCAGTAATGAATTATAAGAAAATGTCATTGAATAATCCGGAGTG